TCTCTCTCTTCTCTCTCATATCTCTCTCTCTCTCTCTCTCTCTCTCCTCTCTCTCCTCTCTCTCTCTCTCTCTCTCTCTCTCTCTCTCTCCCTAGCCCACTCACCCCAAGTATTTGGCCACATAGCCGCACCAGGCCGGCACACAGTCCATGTAGTCGGTGACGGCGGCTAGTTGCTGGATCTGCCGCCAGGCGGCGTTCAGGGTGGTCAGCCGGTCGGCGGCGGGCACCTGGCCGGCCGCCAGCTGAGAGCCGAGCACAGAGAGCAGGGAGCAGCGACGGTACCCTGCCGGTACGTGGGGGGGGGTACAGGTACACCTACAGGGTACGGAGCAGAGAGGGTTAGTGGTACCCTGCCGGTACGAGTACGGGTGGGGGGTACAGGTACAGTGTACACGACAGGGTACAGAGCAGAGGGTGGGCGGTACCCTGTCTAGTGTCTGTAAGGGCAATACCTACGGGGTAAGGGTAAAGGACGGGGTAGAGGAGAGAGGCGAGAGGAGAGAGAGAGAGAGAGAGAGAGAGAGAGAGAGAGAGAGAGAGAGAGGGAGGGAGAGAGAATAACCGGACGCACCGGAGGTAAGGTTTGAGTTACTGGGAGAGATAGGGTACAGACTCAGAGGTGCTCACTATAGACAGTAGGCTCAAGGGGTGCTGGCATGGGTGGTACAGGTTGCAAAAAATACCCTCCAAAGGCAAAACTTTCATTCTTTGACTTGTACCATAAATTAGCCTATTATTATCATGACGCATTTTCCTGTTACAACTTACAAATGGACAAAAATATGAAACAAACAAACCATCAGCCCACACCACATTACTCTATCTAACGCTATTCCCCTTATCTCTCTTCCTCGCCAGCGTCTTCCCTCCATCCCTCACTCTCTCTCCTCACCCATTTCATCACACCCGCCCCGACCGCGGCCGCAGACTACAAGTTCACATGAGGACGGAGGCATCGGTAGGAGTCACCAGCCAGAAGGCATTTTCACAAAACCTACGTATGTCGCAGCCGGGGGGGGGGGGGTTAAGGGGTCCGGAAGTTGGGGAGAACGGGGGGGACTCCTGTCAAGTGTTTGTTGACCGGCATCAGAACTTGTTGAGAGGGGATGAAGGTCAAAGTTTGTGTAGGCGATAGCACAACAACATTGACATGCATAATTGTTGACCGGACGCACAAGATACTGAGCTTGAGCAAGCAAAAGATACTGAGCAAAAAAGGCAAATTAGGTAAAGTAAGGTAAATTGCGCCCCCCCCCCCCCCCTCCCAGCCCCATTGGTCAATTTTGTCCAACTTATCAAGCATCGGTGGTTCAGTGGTAGAATGCTCGCCTGCCACGCGGGCGGCCCGAGTTCGATTCCCGGCCGATGCATTTTGACCCCCTGGTGACAGGCACGAGGTCAATCGGCTCCCAAGTCCCCAGCAGAATACTCACCTACATACAAGGAATCAGCGGTTCCGATGGTCTCAAACCTGCCGTTGAAACTGCTCCGCGAGGTCTCTACTCGTCTCTCAGCAACGTTCATCGCTAATTTTGCACTTCCAGCGACACCGGCTGAATTAAATCTAAATACTAGTCACTGGCACTTAAACTCATACATCCGCTACACATTTTACGCTAGCACCACTAGCACGAAAACACTGACGTTATACGGTAGCCACACTCCTACCTCCCATCCTCCAAACCTTGACCTCAGCTGATCCTGCGCCTGTCTGCGCATGCGCACTGCGCCCCGGTCACTGCCGGCCGGCGACTCGTCTCTGCCCGCGGGGCACGGAGCGACCTCGAAATGAGATCCGATGGTGCGTGAGCTACTCACTTCGAGGCCCGTTTTAGACGAAACAAATAATGGCGATGTAAAACTGAAACTTTTTGTTTATCCTGACAAGTTGTCGTTGATAAAACAATGTTTTCCATGAATGTTCATAGCAAGCAGGGAAGTTTTTCGTTCAAAAAATGTTTTCCATCGATTTATAGTACCGTATCCTTTTCTTCGTCCGACCGCCACATAAAACTAAGCCGTCAATCTCATGCCCAGTATAATCAGTTTCCAATCCTAATCCACATTTCCCTCTTTCACGCCGCTCAGCTGATCCACAGTCCACACCAGTGCACCTCCGTCCACCCAATCCACCCGTGTTCAAATGTGACCAGAAATAAACAGAGCCTTAACCCGGGCACCGACGGGGGTGGGTGGTTATCCCCCCCCCGCCTGAGGTTTTTCCTAGAAGAGCGAATATCTCAAAAACGGCGGCGCTCCGCGCCGCCGTTTTTGGTACACCTTATCATACATCAATTCTACACATGTTGTGAAAATTTCAGACCAAGGTCATTCAAGGTCAGGTCACCAGGTCACTTGAAGTGACCTCACCTCATAAAAACTTTCAATGTCTGTCATAGCTACACCGAGTGACCGATCGCTTTGAAACATTCAGCGATTGCTAAGGGCAATAGCATGTACAAAATGTATATCTCAGAATTTTGATATCAATGACCTAAGGTCAGGTCAATTTTGCGACCTCGCCATTATAAGTCAATGGGAGAACATTGAAATGCGCCTCTTTTGGATGCAAGACATTATAAACACTCCCAAACACCGAATTACAAGTGGTTTAGACACACTGAACATGAAAATGGTGTCCGTGACCCTTGTTTATGCCCTGAGGTCATCTTAGGTCACGAATGGCATCTAACAGTTTTTCGCGAATAACTTTTGATAGAGGCATGCTAGAGCGATGAAAACGCCTTAGATGTGTTCAGCTCGACGATACGGATCGACTGATATGCAACATGACCCTTTCCGGTCAGGTCATGACCTTGACCTGAGGTCAAATTTTCAAGTTGACCTTTAAAGGTCAAGTTATAGTTCATTCGATGCGTCTTGACGAGAGGAACACGATGCCGGTAAAAGTAAGCTCGTACAAGGCTTGGGTCAAAAGTTATTGCAGAAAAACTGTTTCCGAAAAAATCGGCTATTTTTGCAGTTTTTGCCCCCTGCAGGCAAAACCGTTGACGTTAGGTCAAATCTGAGAGAATTACTCAGAAAGGGCGTTAATAGGGCTATCGAATGCGCTTTTCCGCGGCGCTGTAGCTCTATTGGTTCCCGAGTTATGCGTTGGCTTCTTGGAAATTTTCGACATTCGACCTGGAAATCGGCGAAATTTTGCCTTCAATGACCTCTGGTGACCTGACCTTTGACCTGACCAAAAAATTGACCGAAGTGATTTCGTCATCATTTTTGACGCTCTTTCGAACGCCGCCTTCCGCGTATCGCTACGTGGCCCAGGAGCCGAGTTACAAGGGGGGGTGTTCAAACACCCCCCCCCCCCAGCAGGGCGTGGAAATCCAGGACCCCCAGCCGGGCGCGGGTTAAGTACCTTTCAAGGTCAGTCCACATCCAAATTTTCTACCCACATCGTTTCCGTTCCATCCACAAACGCTCTCTCCCTATCCGTCCCTCCCTTTCTTCCTCCCTCTCTCTCTCACGCTCTCTCCATCCCTCTCTGCTCCCTCTCTCTCTCTCTCTCCCTCCCCTCTCTCTCTCTCTCTCTCTCTCTCTCTCCCTCTCCCTCTCTCTCCCTCCCCCTCTCACCGATTTCGTCACACGCCGCCACGGCCTCCACGGCTCGGAGCGCCTGGCCGGAGAGAAACTCGGCGCCGGCAGCTCTCAGGAGCGCCATGAGCAGCACGGAGCGGCCGGCCACCTCCGAGTCAGCCAGCAGGTCAGCCAGCAGCCGGCGGCGCCGCTCGGGATCCGCGCATGCGCAGACAGCCGACCAGAGACAGTAGTCGGCGGCGGGTCCCAGCGGGGGAGGAGAGCCCATAGGGGGAGCCGGTGGGGACTGCGGGAGGGGGAGGAGAGTCAGAGTCATCTATTGTTACTTTGTAACAGGCGGGTGAGATAGGACATCGAAAGCTTGGCTCGACATTAACGCTATATCATGATAGAATGAAGTCTATTGCAGCATCAAATGACCAGAAACAAACTTAAGCGACACATACTATACAATAAATACCATAAAATAAAAATTAAAAATGCCACAGGAAAGAAACAAAACAAAACAAAACAAAGCAAAACAAAACAAAACAAAACAAAACAAAACAAAGATTTGAAAACAAAACAAAGAAAGGCTGAGCCATAGATCTCTGTATGCAGAGCATACAGAGGTCTATGGCTGAACTAAAGACAAATTACAATTGCAATCACGTCCCTCCCCTGCTAGGTATGTACAAACCTTGTAGGTGAGCGTCTTGATCATGTCAGTGAGGTTGTCGGCCCGGACGGCCGGGGGCGCCACCCTGCTGAGGTAGCAGCGGGCGTAGCCGGCCACCAGAGGGTCGGCCACACCGCGCATGGCGACCACCAGACGGCGCGCCGCAGACTCCGTCCCCCTGTAGAGAGGGGAGAGAGAGAGAGAGAGGGGGGGGAGAGGGAGAGAGAGGGAGAGAGAGAGAGAGAGAGAGGAGAGAGAGAGAGAGAGAGAGAGAGAGAGAGAGAGAGAGAGAGAGAGAGAGAGAGAGAGAGAGAGAGAGAGGTCAGTGACGGTGTGGCGTGGAAGGGGACCATCGCAACCAAACAGACCCAGCCTCTTTTCTCTACATAAAGCATTGCCTATAATGTTCCGCACATGCCCCACCAATTCTCTGCAGAAACGGCGCTTCTCTCAACCAAAACCCACCCATATTCCCAATAAGCTCCACCGATTCCCTACAAACGGGCCAGTCTCTTCTCTAGACATCGCACGCCCACTCTCCACACAAACCCCGCCCACTCTCCGTTTAAGCCCCGCCCACTCTCCGTTTAAGCCCCACCCACTCTCCATTCAAGCCCCATCCTATTCTTAGCAGTTCCCACCTATTCCTCATCTAACTCTCCATACAAGCCACGTCTTCCTTTCACACAAGCCCCGCCCACTCTCCACACAAGCCACGCTCACTCCCCATAAAAGCCCCGCCCACTCTCCCCACAAGTCCCCCCCCCCCCTCCCCTCACCCTGTCTGCAGGAGGTCGTAGCAGCGCAGGACGGCCATCTCCACGTAGAGTCGCGCCACCAGCTCTCGAATGGAGGCGATCTTGTAGAACCAGTTACGGCACGTCTCTCGGCCGGCCTCGGTCACCAGGTCACCACCAGGTGGCACCGCTGGTGAACTGACACCGCACGGGGTCACCAGAGGGTCACAGCAATACTGCCGGACTATAGGGCAATGGGTAGGTGAGAAGAGCCATAATTGTACACAATTAACACAAATGCGGTGGCGCTCGAGTCCAGCCTAGCTGCAGTTACCGGGGCCCTGTTTCACGACACGCCGCTACCAGTCATTGGACAAATGTCGTACGCAGTCGCCGCAGAGTAACACCATTATGAGCTGAGCTTGCACATAAGCACGCACGCACGCACGCACACACTAACAAGCAACACCGCGCACGCACACACGCAAGGACACACATATACATACATGTTTTTGTACATATGTTTTTAATAATCACCCCTTATCCTCGTCGTTAGGGTACCCTGTTGTATTCCCCAATTTCATCTCCCTTCCCTGTCTTTGTAAGTAAATCCCCCGTCCTTATCCTTGGAGTGAGTCAGCTGTATCCCTTAGTTCCTGTAGTGTCCTCCCCACTTGCTTTCACAGGTCCTTAACAACAGTATTCCGTTTCGGCTATATATTCTTGCAGACGACAGCTTCAATCCAATGCCAGACAGCGACTGCCCCGACGAGTCCCCAAAACACCCGACATCAGCTCGCATACGCCACTCGGGAACATAAACACTCCAGGAAAGTCTTAACCGCGCCAGAAACGCGACGCTTAAAGTACAGCCAAACACAACAGTTCCTTACCCCTGCTCCTCCCCTTGGAGTGACCCTGATGTATCCCTCAGTTCCTTACCCATCTGTTTCTTGTCCGTGTGTGTGTGTAAACCCCACAGTTCCTTACCCCTGCTCCTTATCCTTGGTGGTGACTCTGTTGTAGACGAGAGTCCCAAACACATCCAGGATGTCTGTCACCAGAACAAACACTGTGGGGTAGAACTGGGCAGAGCCCACCTCCTCCAGCAGCTTACAGGCCTGTCAGCGAGAGAGAGAGAGAGAGAGGAGAGAGAGAGAGAGAGAGAGAGAGAGAGAGAGAGAGGGGGGGGGGAGAGAGATTATCTGGGCTGTGACGCAGGTTAGTACACAGCAATCAGAAACAGAAACCTTTTATAAAGTCTACGCGTCAATGCCTTGTAATTAATGTTTTACACGATATTTTGACATTTGCGTGTAATCGAGTGTGAGGACTGAAATATAGTAGGTATGTGGTGTGGGGCATCACCATGATGCAATATGTTCAGCAATATGGATGTGCAGGAACTACGCGGCATGCCCTTCCTCGATACCTGCACGACTAGTTTGACGGCCCTGGCCCACTGTAATTATGGAGAACAGTAGTGCACACAATTGCGGGTATTAGAATGGGCGGTAGGGTAGCTAGTACGAGGTTAACTACCGTGGGTGGTTAACTAGCCCCCGTAGATGCCCGTATGACCAGTTTGGGGGCCCCGTCCCGCCGGTATACACTGTAGAACAGAGGCCCGGCACATACCTGTATGACCAGTTTGAGGGCCCCGTCCCGCCGGTATATAGTGTGGAACAGAGGCCCGTACATACCTGTATGACCAGTTTGAGGGCGCGCACCCGCTGGTCCGTCTGCCACGCCTGCTGGAGCTGTTTTCTCAGACGGCCAGTGTGGGCTGGCGGGACAACGGGGGTGACGTCAGATACAGGGGTGACGTCATACACATGACGACGCCAGATACAGGATATGACGCCAGATACAGATGCCAGGTCACTAACTTATGACTTGGGTCACTGACATATGATCTCCTTCCAGGTTACTGTCTTATAGCCAGTTAGATCACTGGCCTATGAACTGAGTCACAGCCCCAAACTCCTGACAGGTCACTGACCTCTGACCTCCCGCCAGGTCACTGACCTATGAACTCCTGCTGTGTGAGCTGCTCCTTGCCCGCTGCGTCGTCTTTGTCCGTCTCCAGCTGGGCCAGACGGGCCCGAGAGCGGCTGGCTGGACGAGCAGACACTGGGGGGGAGGGAGGGGGGAGTGTGTGAGGGGGAGGGAGGGAGGGAGAGAGAGAGAGAGGGAGAGAGAGAGAGAGAGAGAGAGAGAGAGGGAGGGAGGGAGGGAGGGAGGGAGGGAGGGAGGGAGAGAGGGAGGGAGAGGGAGAGGGAGAGAGAGGGAGGGAGGGAGAGAAAGAGGAGGTAATTGGGAGAATACCACATGTGAGGTGAGCCACAGGCGCACACAGCTAGAAGTGCTCAGTGCTCACTTCCCCTTCTCGCAGTCCCCCTCCCATTTGGCTCGTTTACCTCCGCGACAGCCGTGGCCAGTACGAGTCGGCCGGTCAGTCTACATTCCACAGTGACAAAATTGGATATTGCTGGAAACACAAACGCCCCTACTCCTAGCGGCCTACGGCCCTTAGCGGCGGCAATATGAGCTAAGCAGGCCGTCCAACCGACTCACCAGGCACTAGCGCCTCTATCGGCTAATCTACAAACTAACCACCGACACCACCCATACCACTAGCGCCTCTATCGGCCAACGTACAAACTAAGCACCCGCCCCGACACCATAAGAGCCCCTAGCGGCGGCACCAACTGTATAACAAATGTCGTCACCAACTGACCGGTGTCGGCGCCGGCGTCACCAGCGCGAGTGGTGACCGTCACCAGCTGCGAGGTGGTGAACTGAGCCAAAATGGCGCGCCGGCGGGCCGGCCAGTCGTCCGCTGGCGCGCCAGGACGCCGATCCGGCGCCGCCTGCCGAAGGTCACGTGGTGTGAACGGTGTTGGCAACGAGTGATCACGTGACTTCACGGGCTGACCGATGAGTGTCAGGGCGGAGAATAGCGAAAACAACAATATTGAGAGTGGAGAGATTGGAGAGCGCGGGATGTCTTTCCAGATTACGTTCTTAGGCTGATTATCTCATCATTTCAAAACACAAACTTCAAATAGAACATGTAATAGCGTCTCTCAAGAAGCACCATCTCCGGTGATGTATGACGCCACAGCTGACCTGCTCGGGCTCCTGGGCGATGTCGAGGGCGGCCAGCGCCGATAGCGGGTCACTGCCCTCCATCAGCCGGGTCAGCGGATCGCCGACACTAGCGCCACCATCCGGCCGACTGGTGGCGCCACCTACACCACCCGCCTGACGAGGTAGGGGCGGAGCGTGAGCGCACGGCCCACCATCGTTTCTCCAGGTCTTTGGAATCGGGGTGGAAAGGGGTTTTCACTTTACATTGACAGTTTTTCACATAAAGGCTCAGAATTAGTGTTACGCAGGACCAAAAAATATCACGTTACAAGTCATTTATTTCTACCACATGGTAAACATTAAGCAACACTGCTGTTCATTTATCAACAGGCTGAAGGATCAAACAAAAATGGGAACTATTAAATATTTAATATTTCATGACCTTTAACTTTCAATTACATCCTATAAATGTGATGCACTAACATTTACGCTGCTGAGTGGATGGATGTCTGTCTTTGCCGCATAAGGCACGGTCCTCTCTGCCCTGTAGTCTCTTACACGGAAGTAGCTGAAATTGAGTAAATGAGTGTCAGTTTTGTAGAAAGGCAAATAATGCAACAAGTTCTAAGAAAATGCAGGAAATATGTATATCGATAGGTACCTACCTATATCTCTGTAAAACACTTCAACTGCTAAATAATTATCTGTTCTATTCAGTTTCATGTCTGATGATAATTGATTTATTACAGTTGTGGTAAAAAAGAAGTTTGTTTAACTTGGAACCTGGAGCACAGCTTCAGTAAACAAATTCTACAGAACTATGAGGAAGGTACTTTAAAGAAAACAGCAATGAACTATCTAAATAATGAGTTACTTTGGTAAATAGATAGATTGCATACACAAAAGACCCTAGCACTTTGCCTACTTACTCAAACTTAATCAATACCAGGGCTGTCTCATCCCTATCTCCGTAACGTGTCGTGTGCGACCAATGACGTCACGGCATTGCGGCGTTCTGATTGGGCGGCAGCTCTGAATCGCCCGACTGGTGGTCCCCGCTCGACAAGCGCACGTGCGCCGACTAGACATTTGTAGTGGCATTGACGGCAGAAAAAGTGAGGTAATCAGCGATGCCATTCCTTGGGATTTGTCCCAAGATCTTGGGATTTGAACATTAACATTGGGATCTTGTGATTTGTGCTGCATATCTTGGGATCTGGCAGAAGCTGATTTCACTTTGTCTTCTCATGCTGTCGAATGCTTTTTCCTTGGTCGATAATAGATTTAGGATGGATTTGCCTCACGGACGGTTAATAGCATTCAAACATATTGAAGTAACGGACGAAGCTTGCGATGTTTCTTGCAGGCATTATCTTCCCGAGGTCGCAGGATTATTTTTGTACCATTACTTGTTATGGGTATAGTAGCAGCTTTCAGTCGCTGTTCGCAACTGGCGCTCATTTGTTTAACCCGCGCCCTGGTGGGGTCTGTTTATAACGCGACCTGGTGGGGGGGGGGGCTATTTTTTGCCCCCCCCCCCCTCGTATCTCCGAAACTACTGGACGGATCCGAAAAATTCAAACGGTGTTCGAAAGGCCTGTCAAATTTGTCGAGGGAAACCAAATTTTATTGACCTCGGGGTCACCGATGACGTCACAGGTCAGGTCAAAGATGAAATGTTTCACCGTTCACGGGTCTTCTAGGGAATGCGCTATAACACCGAGGAAAACGCATTTTGTCGGGAATCAGCGATAGGGCGTCAGTTGCCTAGTAGATATGTTGCTGTTAGAGGTCACTGGTCATACCAGGTCAGGTCACAGGTCAGGTCACCAAAGGTCACCAAGGGTCACCACATGAACCCAACTTTACTAAGGTTATGCGATGCATGTTTTATGGCCAGTTTTTCATTTCCAACTCAATGGTGTTGGTTATAAGACCATGAGGTACGGTTTAGGTCACTTTCTGGTGGAGGTCAGGTCAAGGTCAGGTCAAAAAAGGTCAAATTTCAAAGTTGATATTTTTGCATAAAATGGGTATTGATTCGATGCAGCTCGTCACGGGGAGTCTAATGGTGGTCTTTGTTTTGCGCTACGAGGTCTAGAATTGCTGAAAATTGAGTTTGAAAATTTGACGTCATCAATTTTGAACAGTTTTTTCGCTCTAACTTGGCCAAAAAAAGAGGTATGGATCTCAAATTTGGTATGTAGATAGAAGGCGGTGAGGACTATCACATATATTCCGGTTTTTTTTCGAAATTCAAAAAACTTTTTGGATTTTGTGGCTATTATATTCAAAAAATCTATTTTTTTGTTTTTGGGGGTCAAAATCCAAAAATTTCAAAAATCCGAGATAGCAGTTTTGTAGCCCTGTCCATTCTACAGCTTTTATGTCTGTATCATTTTTCTGTATTTGCAAAGCTATAGGCCTGACAGCTCTTCCCGCGAAACCCTTTTTTGGGTCGAAAACGGCAGAACATGACGTCACTCTGACGTCATTTCCGGCCAACCTATCATAGCCTTTGGAAAAATGTTTGGTCACAATGTGTAAAATTGATGTCCGGGAGGGTACTAAAAGTTTGGTGACGATCGGCGCAGTGGTTCTGGAGATATATCGAAAAGTCTGGAGGGGGGGCAAAAAATAGCCCCCCCCCCCACCAGGTCGCGGGTTAACCCTCGCCCGCACATGGGGGGGGGGGGTGGTTGCCATCCTCCCAGGCAGTCTTTCTACTCTGCACTCAACATTTTTAGAGCTAGAAGGCTGATTTTTCGTACAGCTGCTCGTCTATCCTTTCTTGATGTCCACTGAAAATTTCAAGTTTCTGTGATTTTTGGTTTCGGAGATATGACCTTGTTTTTCAGGTCATGTCATGACCCAAATGGCCAATTCTCAACATCTTGCGTTTGCCATGGGCCTTGTGAGCTTTTGACACCCTGATTTCGGCCTTTTTTGCCAGTCTTACCTCCCACCTATCATGGAACACGTTGTTCGACGATGTACAGGGGTCAAGGGCAGGGTCAAGGTCAACCTAGGTCATCTAAGATAATTGCGTTTTAGGCAAGCTGAATTTACTTTTTGTGAAGTTGTTTGACTGCATTTTTGGTAAAAGCTTCTCAGATCATAATTTCATGTGATATGGACCCAAAAACAATCGGTGCACACATCAGTATACACACAGACACACACAGACATACAAACACATATAATTGACCTTGACCTAATTTGACCTGAAATGACCTCAGCAGCAAAATTCTGGTCGGATAGTGTGACAAAGAGGTTCTAGCTGGCTTGCCGCACCAGAAAACAGCATCGTCATCGGTATTTGATAAGCAGCGCACTTGATATCCAACGGTGACCCAAAACAGCAACATTTTTTAGTTTGACCTGACCTGGAAGGTCAATGACTGACCTGAGAAGGTAAAACTGGGCATCATTGGATTTGTCTCTTCCCAAAAAATCTTTTTGGTCTTTACTGCTAAGCTCTATCTCTAACAGGAACGAAATGGCGCGGGGGGGGGGGTGGCAACCACCACCCCCCATGCGCGTTCTAGGATGGGAAAATGGCATGTGCGGGCGAGGGTTTTAATTTTCAACTACCGATCAACGGGGATGGGTGGTTTGGCGGCATGATGTTGGATGGCTATGAAAAGCTTTTACAAACATTATGCCTAAAAAATATTTCAGAAAGCGGCTCCCGAACGTTTCGTTTTAAAAAAGCGTTTCATTTTACGGTTTTGCTCTATGGAGGCTTATCCGTTGACCGCCCGCGAACCAAAATAAGGGCAATTTGTCTTTGACCTCGGAAAAGTGTCTGGTCACCTGACCTCTGGGCTCTGCTGGACCAAAAATAATCAAAGCGTAACGTATCGATCAACTGTAGGAGTCCGATCGACCCCCTCCCCCTCCCCTCCCCGCGGCCTCTAGGTACATTAGCTGCTGTAAAGACGCCAATAAGGACAAGGGTGGACCCGAAGAAGAGAAAGTTAAATACTTAACACACTAATATGTCCAAAATAAGCTATGGATTTACTTGGGGTACTCCTAAGGATATGCGATGGGTAGTCTTGGGATTCGAGACGAGAATCTTGGGAAATTCTGGTCGAGATCTTGGGATGGAGCAAAAATGTGGATGGCATCACTGGAGGTAATGCAGAGCTCTGAATATACTTGAATAGAGTCTAAGCCGTTAGTAATACGTAAAAACGTCACATAGGTTTCTTGTTCGTCTTGATTTGAGCTTTTATGTGATATAACTTTTACCTTAGTGTCGAGGTTGGCTGCTATGTCAGTAGGTGGAACTATGGTCATGAGTACCCAAATATAGGAACGTTCCCATTTTTGGGGACGGAGTTCCCAAATATGGGAACGGGCGTTCCCATTTATGAGAACGGAAGGTAATTTTTCGGCCGTTCGCCCACTAAAACTCATTAGTGCATCACGTCTCAAAAAAGTGCACGCTAATTTAAGTATCTACTAAGTCTCTATAAAATTATCTTTAATCTGACCGTTGAACAAGGAAATTGACCGTCGAATGATATTTTTAATGATTTTTTGAAATGACGGAATGGTGAAAACATGGGTTACACTACATTTAACATGCAATTTTTAAGAAAATGAAGCGTTTTTTACATTTTGAGGTCAAGTATAATAATTTTCGCCTGGTTATGAAGTTTCATACTAGCGACACCCGATGCTGACATATGCAAGCGAACACGCGGACAGTCCCGAGGTAATATTGTTGACATTTGGTGTCGAGGCGGACGACCACGTAGAACGGGCGTGATTTTACCGAACTACTGTTGTAAACTCAGTTTAAGTGGTCGAAAATTATTCAGCTGTATTTTATCAGCCCGGAAAGACATGTTTTATTTGGATGCTAGCTGTTTAGCGTTGTTTTATAAGGAGCGTCATGAGCGTGGTTTTTGTCTTCCGTGTTTCTAAGCATGATCGTTTTGGGGGAATTTCTCTTATATAGGTCGCTCTGTGTGGCTTATTTATAATTTCTATGCTGATTTCGATCATTCCTCGTGCCCATCCTACCAGGCCTTTTGCCACTTACACTCATTAAGAAAGGAAAAAACTAGATTTTCATTGGGACTAGGTGTTTTGAGGGCGTAACATATTCAGCGTTCCCATTTTTGGATACTTCCTTGTACTCGTCAACTATCGGTGATAAACAGACAGGTGCTTGACATGTCTCCACCATCGGCACGGACGGTGGATATAGGTATGGAAGACCTTGTTGAACATCGCTGAGCGTTGTGAATTACGTAATCCTGCAGAGGGGGGCGTGCCCGCTGCGAGATCGACGGGAATAAAAGCGCAGAAGGCCGGGCGAAACATGCGACGGTCTTGCCGGAAAGGTCATCTGATGATTGTTGCGTTAACAATAATTTGCGGCGTTGGACGTGATGCTTGTTAATGAAAAGAGCCCCTGAAAGGCGTCGGTGAAATCGTTCCCAATTTTGGGTACGCCGTTCCCATAATAAGGAACGCTTGCAGCGCCAGTGTACGAGAGCGTTCCCAAATTTGGGCTCGCGGCCCGGATGATGGACTGCTTTAGAAATAGGGGCACGATTTGAAACTACGATGGGCCTTACAATATCAAACTCTTTCCCAACAATATTGAGACAAATATCAGGCGGTTCACGATCGTTTTATATTTTTTGGACGTCATTTAACGGTTCTTTTTCTTGTTTTAAATAATGCCTACATGGCGTTCCCATATTTGGGTTTATCGTTCCCAAACATGGGAACGAAAATGCGTTCCCGAAAATGGGTACGCTTGACCATAGTTCCGCCTACTGATGTGGGAGAGCCCTAAAGTTGGGTTATTTTCCATAGGATTGCATTACAGCCGTCCGACCCTTCGTACCAGTGAAGTCACGGAAATCGCTGCTTCGGCCTAAGTAATGAGCATACCTTCTATATAGGGCCTTGAATCAATACAAATACATAATGCTTTCAAAATTCAATTCAATGTTTTGTAAGAATAAATACATCAATCCTTACCATTTGACGTTTTCTGCATTTTGATTTTGATTTGATTCCTCCATTTTCCTCAACTATAAATACAAGGCTTTTGATTAGGCTAGGTATCAGCAAAAAGTCACGATTTTTTAGTTGGCACCTTTAAAGGGACCCTCCCACCTTCAAAAAAGTTAATGAATTGGCACGAAAGTGATGTCGCTCGGTTCAGAAAGAGCGAAAACGAAGATCTACCAAATTTCATCGAAAAATATTCACCGGTTTTCAAGATATTAGACTTTTACTTTTGTTTACTTTTTGGGATCTCCGCTGTTCCTAGCGACTTTATTTGAAAGTGCGGCATTTGTTGCGCGCAAAGCAGCATATACCACCGCGTGCTACTAAACGTTTTAGTAAAAGGTTTAAAAATCGTTAGATCTCCGCTGACGTCACAAATTCTAAGGGGGCATACCAATGCACTAGCCCCTTAGAATCCGAAAACTGCAAGTTTGAAATTCCATATCTCCGAATTAAAGCATTTGTCGATGTTGTGAGTGCCCAAACCGGTATTTGCAGGCCATGGCCACCAATTTGGCTATCTCAACTCAAAACTAATGTTAAGGTGGGAGTGTCCCTTTAATACCTATAAATCTGCGATACAATTGCAACTTTCCTTCAAGCAACAATAACAAAGGCGGCCATATTTGTCTCTGCGAAGCAAAATATGTAAAACAGGAATTACACCAGATCAAGCTCACTGCTACCAAACAAAGTAACAACTTCACTTTATATTTTCCCGTCAATTATCGAGTAGTGAATGAATAGTAAGGGAATCTTGTCAATTATTGGTAATTTGAAACAGAAAGTACATAAAGTCTTGATAGTACTGGTCATTGGTCTGGTGAAGGATAACAAAAAGACGTATATTGAGGCACAGAGCAGCATGTTTTAATAAATCCTCTTCAGCGCTTAGATATGTAGGTAATCTTTCTCATTTCTGTATATTTCAATCCATGATGACGAAGACGAGAGGTCTTTGAAACCGGTTGGATTTATTAAAATATGCTGCTCTGTGCCTCAATCGTCCGTCAATGTGCCTCAATGTGCCTCAACCGTCTTTTTGTTGTACGTAATCTTGATTGTTGAAACAGCACCGCCAGCGCCACCGTGCAATATGCTTAAAGGGACACTCCCAGGGACACTTAAAAGGGACACTTAGTTTTGAGTTGAGATAGCCAAATTGGTGGCCATGGCCTGCAAATACCGGTTTGGGCACTCACAACATCGAAAAATGCTTTAATTCGAAGATATGGAATTTCAAACTTGCAGTTTTCGGATTCTAAGGGGCTAATGCATTGGAATGCCCCCTTAGAATTTGTGACGTCAGCGGAGATCTAACGATTTTTAAATCTTAGACTAAAACCATCGTTAACACGTGGTGGTATACGCTGCTTTGCGCGCAACGTCTGCCGCACTTTAAGGCTGCCAAATTATTGCTTCCAAATAAAGTCGCTAGTAACAGGGGAGATCCCAAAAAGTAAACAAAAGTAAAAGCCTAATATCTTGAAAACCAGCGAATATTTTTCGGTGAAATTTGGTAGATATTCGTTTTCGCTCTTTCTGAACCAAGGGACATCACTTTCATGCCAATTCATTAACTTTTTTGAAGGTGGGAGGGTCCCTTTAAGTGTGAACAGCGAGCCATGGATGAAGGAGCCCCTATTCCCATGCGTGAGCCGTGAACCGAGGCCACCCTCAGATTAGGCGCTCCGTAGGGGGGCCGAGACGGCCCCCCTGTCCTTTTCCGTCGATATCTCCTAAACGGCTTGAGATATCGCCACGAGACTTTCAGGACCCCTCCGGGCATCAATTTTTCACATTGTGACAAAAAAGATTTCCAGAGGCTATGATAGGTTGGCCACAAATGACGTCAGAATGACGTCAAGTTCTGCTATTTTCGACCGCCGACCTTCGCGAGAAGAGCTGTCAGGCCTACAGCTTTGAAGATACAGAAAAATGATCAAGACGTAAAAGGTGTGGAATGAACAGGGCTACAAAACTGCCATCTCGGATTTTTGAAATTTTTGAGTTTTGACCCCCAAAAATCAAAAAAGCATTTTTTGGATCTATTATCCAAAAAATCCAAAAAGTTTTTTGAGTTTCGAAAAAACGGAATATATGTGATAGTACTCACCGTCCTATATCTACATACCAAATTTCAGATCGATATCGTTTTTTGACCAAGTTATAGCGAAAAACTGTTCAAAAATGATGACGTAAAATTTCAAGCCAAATTTTTGGCAATTCTAGACCACGTAGGGCAAAACAAAGATCTCCATTAGACTCCCCGTGACGAGCTGCATCGAATCGATGCCCATTTTATGCAAAAATATCAACTTTGAAATTTGACCTAATTTGACCTGACCTTGATCTGACCTTGGCCAAAACGTGACCTAAGCTGGCCCCAAAGGATGCCTGACCCACATAATCGCATTTGTCATGTAAAATGGACAATAAAACATGCATCACACGACACTTTCATATTGTGACCCCCCGGTGACCTGACCTACCTATGTGACCTGACCTGGTATCAGTGACCTCAGATAGCAAAGTATGTGTTTGACGAACGATGTACAATCGATGGTTTTCAATAAATTACTAATTTACTCGATTTCACAACACATTTCTTGAAATGCCTGTGAACGGTGAAAATCCGACCTTTGACCTGACCTCTGACGTCATCGGTTTGACCTAGGTCAATGAAATTTGGTCACAAGGTAGTTCCCGGGTGGGGCTATCGAACACCGTTTGAATTCTGAAAATCGGCCGGTAAATTTCCGAGAACTTAGGGGGGGGGGGGCGAAACGCCCCCCCCCCCACGGATGGTAGGGCTCGCCGATAGCCCTACGAGGCGCGGGCGGGTTAATAAAGGTCAACGCCCAACGCCCAATGGTTCAGCTTCCAGAGGGCAAAAACTTCAAGTCTGACGTTTGGGGATGACGTCATCTTCTGCAATAACTTTTTAAACAACAAGCTTGTATGGCGTTACTTTAATTGGCATCGCGATTCTCTCGTCGAGATACGCCGAATGAGCCATATAAGCTGACATGAATTTAAGAAAATCTGAAAATTTGACCTCAGGTCAAGGTTACAGAAAAGGCCATGTTGCATATGGGTCGATTCAATTCGCTTAACGTCTTTATGACCCAGCTTGTCCTCTAAGCACTAAGGTAACAGTGAAAAGAGAAGAATTTCTTGGGGCATGAAGAGCATTAGTTAAAATCTTAGGCCTAGTTTAAAAAAGGAATAGGTTTGTCACTATCTCTTCTGAATAGGTAAATCTCTAAAATGTTTATTGTTGTCGCAAAATATTTTCTTTTCATCAATTCCTCTAATGGGCAAATTTCGCCCACAGAAAAGTTATTGCTCCTATCGCCCCCCCCCCCCCTCGGGCTACGGCTGAAGTGAGAGCCCGACAGCACTTCTGCAATCTACATTGACTGGCGCAGCTGGGATTGACACCCCAGGCTGTAAATAATCACCAATATAGGCTTATTTCATGAAGAGGCACCTTCAAATCGTATCTTTTGAAAATAACTTTAAGAATTCTACTCTTAATTTTTTCTATTGTTATCCATCTTTAATAATATACTTTTAGTCCACTTCTAAAGTTTTTTCGGTTGTTGTGTGTATGTATTGTGACTGACATAAGCCAGTACCTGCCCATAGGGATATCTCGGTCACTTGCCACGCATACACAGTCGCCTTGCCTGCTGTACGTGGCATCATTACCTATACGGCAATGCTTTCAGAAGGCAACGAACACAAAAAGGTCGCCGAAGACGACCGCTGAAAATGCACGAGCAAAAACGATGGGACGGCGCGTGCGGCAGCGAAGCGTCACACCGCCCGCCCATTCAGTCCGTGCCGCCGCGGTTGCATGACATCGAGAAAGAATGAGGCGGCAGATTGGGTCGTTTTTATTAGCAGAAAATATTCCGTGAACTAGATTTGAACGCTTATTTACCTTTGTCCTTTACATTGAATACGTGAAATGTTGCTGGTAGCTTATTGCCGTGGTGACTGTAATGGTGCAATAAAATCCTTTCAATTACTTAATTTTGGATTACAACAAAGAACGAACACGAACCATTTCATTTAGTCTGTTTGCTCCCCCGATTCCGTAAAAACAGCCACCCTGCCACCCATTCATTACATATCCATTGTGACGAGTGATGACGTCACCAACAAAAACGGATGACATCAGTCGCTTGAAGCAATGCGTGTGCCTTATGCCGGGAGGGGGAGGGGGGTCATGTCAGGGTCACTAGGTCAGCCGCCGATACGGGGAGAGGTCTGGAGGCGGGCGGCAGTTGGTGACTCGGAGATGGAGGAGATGGTAGTACCAACGAAAGGGAGCACCAACAGCAGAAACGAGACGGTGGCACCAGCGAGAGAGACCGCAGCACCAGCAAGAGACTGACGGTTACACGAACAGAAGACTGGAGAGAGACAGTGGCACCAGCAGGAGAAACGAGACGGTGGCACCAGTAGGAGAGACGGTTACACCAACAGGAGAGAGACGATAGCACAAGGAAGAGAACAAGACTGTGGCGGCAAGAGAAACAATACTATATAAGCAAGAGGATTGAATACAGAAAACGAGAGATTGTGCATGCAGTGTGCGCCGCCTTCAATTCGTCCCAGAGCTGTGACCACGCCATTTATCTCTTTTCTCCCAGCTGGGAACGACAGACGATGTATCCGTCCATTGGACGGGCGATAATAATCACACTGTTCTGCACTACGAGTGTCTCCCAGACTTTGGGGACAGCTCATGCTGACGTGGGAGCGAGGCCTGCCGTGGTACAACAACGTCAGCAATTTGAGAAGCTACAGCAGCAGCGGCAGCAACACCAACTAGACCGTAAGGACCTCAATCAGCAGCACCACCTGCAGAAACATGAAAATAGCTCCCTCGGTCACCATCATGATCCTCGTCTCCAGCTTCACCTTCAGCACATTCAGTTCCACCACCTCCACCACATCCTGCAGCATCGTCTCCCCAATGTGCTTCAGCACCGGCAGCAGCAGGCTCACATCAGGCTGGCCCGCAGCACGGAGGACCGGTCGGACGGGTCAGTCCCAGAGCACCTCCGGACAGCCTGGTCCACCTACTCCCCACTCTACCCGGCAGAGGCAGAGCGAGGAGCATACTTCCCGGCCAGGGTACTCTGTAGGTGAGAGACTGGCGACGTTGATGTTGGGGTATGCGATGGGTAATTTCGGACAGGGAGATTGCTGGTCAAATGATTACAGCATCGAAAGCAGACACTATTGGTAATTGGGGCATTCCA